TGATGGGCTCTATGTATGGGAAGAATCCTTAGAAGAGAAGTTGTTTTATTTAGGGTGATTTTGGTAGAAGAATAGATGAGAATATAGACCAATTTAGAGTGTATATATTTGGTTTGCAGCCATGAACGTGGGAGAGCTTTTTGAATGAAATATTTTGTAGCAAAAGGCTGCTTTGATGCTCGTTGAGTGAAAAAAAATAAAAGGTGGTTCTTCGGGAGAATAACGTATTGCTTTCGGGAGAAAGTTTTTAAAGACGAGTGGTGCTCGATGGACAATGCCACTAAGAGGATTCTCCACAGCGGCGACAATATCAAGGAGGGGGTCTGTTGCTTAAAATTGTGAATCTAGAATCTCGCAAGTGCACGAGTCAACAAGTAGTAAAATGGTGAATAATCAAGTATCGTCCCACAGGGACTGTGTGTTTTTTGAAATCAAATTGTTAAGTTAATTCTCTCCAAGTTTTTAAACAAAGACTAAAAGTGATTTTTAAGGTGTTAAAACTAATGATAATTTGACTATAGAAATGAACAACAAAAACAAAACTAATTAATAAGGAGTTTGCAAATAAAATTGGCCAATGTCACTGTTCGCGGCTTAAAATTATTAAACTGTCTTTTATCACGCTGCGCGTTGCTGCAGCAATGGACAGTAATAAAAACTTCTAGTTAACCGGATTCTACTAAACCAGGGACTTTCCAATCCGCCGTCTACTAATCTTAAAACTAAATCTCACAAATCCCTCTGCAAATCTAGACTCTAAAATCAGAGAATGAAGCTCCAAATCGTATGGTTATGCAAGACATAATATATTCCTATATCATGTGGATCAAAAATCTGTAACAAGATCTAAGAACTTGCATTACTCAAGTTATTTCCACTCAACTAAATCTTCCCAGATCTAATCAAGCTGTACTCCCCTCTTATGATTTCCCAATCATAGTTAAGGCACAAATTCAGCTCACTTGAATAAACAAAGAAATAATCATCAAATCCATTCAACATCAACTAGCAACTTAATATTTAACAAATCAACAACCTCAGCCAACAAATCATAATCTCATAGAAATATATTTATGAATTCAAGTTCAGATTCAATAAGAAGAGTAAATATTCTTTAACAAGAAAAACAAAGTAATGAGAATAAGAAAGACTAAAATGATGATGAGAGAATCCGAATCTCCCTTTTTCTAAGGTTTCCTCTAGCTGCTCTTGCATCAACATATGGTCCTTCACGTTTAAATCTCTATGACGTTTTCTTCTTCTTCCTCCCCAGTGCTGGAAATGGTACTTGATCAGAAAAATGGAGGTGGTTTCCTTTTCCAAGTTCAGCCGCCTCTGCGTTCAAAAATATGACCAAGGACACCTTCTTCTCTTGCAGCTGCAGGTACTTATTGTACCCTAATTACACGTGGCAACCCCTGAGGAAGCCTCCAAGCAGCAGCTAAATCAGCACCCTTCACGGTAAAATCAGCCCATTCTTCCAGCTCAGGTACAGCTGTCAGCAACATGCATGTCTGGCCCAGCTCGCCTTGCTGCAGCAATGCACAACAATGCTGACTAGGATTTCCTTGAAAATTCTAAAACGACAAGTTGTTGCTAGCCTCCAAGACGACAATGCTTTCTCAAAGCTGAAAATAATCACAACATACACCCGGATTAGCTCTTTTTAAACGCCAAACACAAGAGAGAGAATTCATGAAACATAACTAACTAAAAACTACAAACAAGACAAAATAAAGGATAAAACTAAAACTAATTACCCTCTAGGTAATAATTTAAGCCTGGAAAATGCTCAATTAACTCTATTTTCATAGAGTTATCAGGGTCTTTGAGTGTGTAAGACCGATTAGTGTTTGTAATCTCTTTATCTTAGTAAATTGTTCACTGTTTGGGCGTGGTCTTGCAGATGTATGTGTGCGCACCGAACTGCGATATCAATTCTTTGTGTCTTTTATGTTTTCGTATTACTTTTCTGCACTTATAATTTGCTGCTGTTGAATCAAAGAAAAGTATATCTATTTACACGTATATGTCATCAGTGTTACAACTAGTATTATAACACTCTTTGTGACAGCGACTGAAAAATGGACATTTCAGAAGCTTCTTAGAGTTTAACGTGTTCTGACCTCCAAATTCTGACGTTGAAATAAAGACAAAATACAAGAGAAGTAAATGAAATGAGGGTCTTGTCCATATCAAATAAGCCCTAAAGATTTAAAGCTACGCAAATAAAACAATCAATCAATGTAGCAAAGGAGAAGATTGGATAGCAATTAAACTGACCAAGGTGATTATGAGAGTGTTCTATGTTTCGAAAGCGAGGCCCGAAATGCATGTCTTGTTCGTCACCCAATTCCGTAGTGAATTTAAGCTACAGAGCTGAATTAGTATAGGGAACACTTTTTCCGACTATATTGGACATATTTTCTCAACCGTTTTCAGTCGATCTCCTGCGGGGAAAACGTAATACTGATCTGATCTATCATTTTGCGGAAAAATGTAATCTTAGAAGGCACCACTAATGTCACAATATTTTTCCTGCCTCTTGTCACAGAAGTCTCAATGCAAAATTCAACAGTCACCTTCCCCACTTAGTTCAAGTACTCATGACACAGACTCTTCAAATTTTGTGCAATTACTTTATTTGTAGCTTCAATTTTTTTGTGTTGTGAAACAAAGAATATCCTCTTAACACTTGCTGTTCAGCAGTTAGCATATACATACACATATACTTGCTCAATGCTCATATATCTGCAAGATAAACAACTTTGACTAAGAGTCAAGTCATCAAAGTAACTTCTAAAAGAAATAAGAGTAAGCAAACAGATTACAAATTCAAGGGACGATATGTAATGCGGACATCACTCCTCCAAATGAGTCAATTTTCCAAATCTCTTGCTGTTAATCTTAAAATTGTTTCAAGGGCCTAATTAGACCAATGACATACCAACGCTACAATGGTTTGGTGTGGAATTAATTAGAGAGAGAAATCATTCTTATGTGGATGATCTGTCCGGTTAAATGTTTAAATCCTGGTTATTCAATACATCACAGTCATGTAAATAGGAGCAGAGAGGATAGTGCTGTCGGCCCTAAATTAATTTTCAAGTAGTGACTTTTTGTCCCTGGACTTTTTTTTTTTTTTTTTTTTTTAAATTTTTGATTAAGTAACCTTACATGCCCCGCAACAGATGATGCACTTACCTAGACAAACTCCTTCAGTTCCACCTGAGCCAACAGAGAGCTATAACTTGTATGCAGCATTGAAGACTTTTTTGATGAGCGATTAGGTGGAATGGAAGTTAAAACCGATAACCTGCCTATGATAGTAGGCAACACACAGACTCATTTTGATGAGCGATTAGCTCGAATAGAAGTTAAAATTGATAACCTCGCTAAAATTAATTATTATACTTATTCCTCTAGAAGGTGTTAAATATGTGTTATAAGAAATGTTGAAATGTAAACAGTTTTAGTTTTAATAAATTTTAGAACTTATGGTGAAGTTATTGATTAAATTTAAAACAGGCTCAATTCTGCAGTAGATGTACAGTAGACACTGGAGTAATAAAGCTCTCTACTTCACGTTAGAGTATCTCGACTGATTAGTAGAGTGGACTTTTACTTGCTTTTTTTTTTAGTTAAAAAACTTAGTTAAATTTAATTTTTCTTGAATAATATTGCTAATTAATTGGTCACATTGGTTATTTGCACCAAAAATATGAAAAAAAAAAAAAAAAAAAAAAAAAAACTTAATAGCACTACTAGTTAAGGGGCTCATTTTTTATACTCACTTTAGTAAGTAAGCTATGTTAATTAAAATTATCCATCAAGACATTAACAATTACGGTGGCAATTTGAAAATTCTAACTTAGTAAACTAAGTAAATAATAATAATAATAATTATTATTATTATTTTAAATGTAAGCATTAGTAATTAAGGTGCAAAACATTTTTTTAATAAATTAAAATACCTTATTAATTAAATTTGTAATGGGCTCAACTCTACATAAAACGTACTCTACTATACGGTAGACTACAACAACAAAACTCTCTACTGCGCGGTAGAGTATTTCGACTGCTTAATAGATTAGACTTTCACTTACTTTTTTTTAATTAGGAAACTTGGTTAAATTTAATTTTCTTGAATAATATTGCTAGTTAATTGGTCCCATTGATCATTCGAACCAAATATGTGAAATTACGTTAAAAAAAAAAGTTATTAGCACTACTAGCTAAAGTGGTCATTTTTTATGCTAGGGGCTCATTTTTATGCTCAATTTGCTAAGCTAAGTTAATCAAAATTATCCATCAAGACATCAACAACTAAGGTGGCAATTTGAAAATTCTAACTTGGTAAACTAAGTAAATATTTTTTTTATTTTAAATGTAAGCACTAATAATTAAGATGTAAAATATTTTTTTAATGGATTAAAATACCTTATTACTTAAATTTATAACGGATTTGACTGTGCAATAAACGTACTCTACTGTACGGTAAACTACAATAATAATACTCTTTACTGCTCAATAGAGTATCTCGACTGCTCCATGAGTAGACTTTTACTTGCTTTCTTTTAGTTAAGAACCTGGTTAAATTTAATTTTTCCTGAATAATATTGCTAATTAATCGGTCCTATTGATTATTCACCAAACATATGAAATTACGTAAAAAAAAAAAAAAGTTAATAGCACTACTAGTTAAGCTAATTTGGTAAGCAATGTTAATCAAAATTATCCATCAAAATATCAACAACTAAGATGGCAATTTGAAAATTCTAACTTGGTAAACTACGTAATTTTGTTTTTTATTTTAGGATTATTGGCACAAATAGTCCCTAACCTATTTAGTAAGTGATAGTTTGGTCACCCAACGTTTTTTTTTTTTTTTTGCCAATCGACCCCCAACCATTTAAAATAGGTATAATCTGATCATTTCCGTCAAGATCCATCTAAAAGCTAAAGAGAGAAACCCACGTGACCCTTTAACTTGGGGGTATATGTGCAAAAACACGCCCTTAGTTGATTTGGTGGTGGTTTATACGGTAGAAGAAAAAGAAGGGTTGCAATTGGGGGTAATTGCTCTGTAAGTGTAAAAAAATATAAGGTTCTTAAAATTTCTTCAAATTGGGGCTGTAATGGAAGAAATCCACGAAGGTGATGACCCGCTATGAATTGAGACCGGACCCAAAGAGCCCATGAGCTGATCTACAAAACCCCCCCTCACCTCACTGCCCGATCCGCCGCCGATTGGTCGGAATTTCAGTTTGAAATCTCCAACCACAACACCTTCCAACACAGATTTAGGCGTCGGAGTATATATCCCACTCAAAAATTGGGGAACTGGATAGATGATTTCGGCATAGGCCAACGCCCTAGTCTTCACCGTGTAAAAATGAGAGGAAAGCTTACGTACAGTTTCCAGGTCCACTACAGCTGCCAAGGCATGTGCACATGGAAGTGTATCGATATCAAAAACAGGCAATCACAACTTTTTTTACCTAAATCAACAATTGCATCTAATTTACCTCCAGTCACATTATACTCAAACATGTTAAAGGGTGTTGCTGTCATTTGTTGTGCCTCCTGAACCTTTTTCGCAAGGTCCCCTCCGTCTTGGGTGTTAAGGCAGTACTGCAAGATGCTGCTTCTTCTCGATGCTTATAAAACAAACCGGACGACACCTCTAGGATCTTGTCAAGCATGGAAATCATGGGATATGATCTAGCCTCCATCAAAACCCCATTAATCAACTCAGCGCCGCCTGTGGTCGTAAAATTGTACCGATCACTGCTAAAGTAAGCTCTTGACCAATGACTCAAATCCATGGTTTTAGTTAAATATGATTCAACTGCTGGATACCTATTCCGAATCTCATTCAACGACTGGTTGAACTGCGAAACCTGATATGACTGGGCAGCGCTTTTGAACAGATCAATGGCATCCTTGCAGGTGAAACATGATTTGAGATTTTGTTCAATATGCTACATACAATATCCGTGACGTGCCTTCTTGTAAACATTGCCTACTGCATTTTTTATACTCTGAACCTGTCCAAAATAAAAACTAATTCACCATTGTCTGGTATAATCTCCTGAAGTCTGGTATAATCTCCTGAAGCTTTGTCAAGAATCATGTCCAGGACCTGTTATTCTCTGAGTCCACCACACCCCAAGCAATAGGATAACAATGACGATTCCCATCTTGTGCTATAGCAACGTGAAAACAACCTGTTAGGATCCTGGTTGAGTCCCACATTACTAAAATATGGGCTTAGCATGTGGGTTTATAACCACTTGGGCAGCCTTTCCTTACAAGCTAGCTTTTGGGGATGAGTTCTACCCAATTGTTATAATAATTGGTATCAAAGCATGCTCCTCCTCAGGCCCACGTTGCGGAAGGGGCGCCTGGGGAGGGGCGACCTGGAAAGGCCAGAGTGAGCCATCTAGAGTGGGCCACCGTGGATGTTGGTGTCGGAAGCATAGTGGTATGTTAGGATCCTGGTTGAGTCCCACATTACTAAAATATGGGCTTAGCATGTGGGTTTATAACTACTTGGGCATCATCTCCCTACAAACTAACTTTTGGGGATGAGTTCTACCCAAGGATTATAACACAACCCTTGTATTTGGTCTTCAAGAACGTTCCATCTATTGCAATAACCTTCCTCATGCACGAAAACACTCTAATGGCTGGTCTAAGTACTAAGAAAAGATACTTGAACTGGTTGCTTTCATCCACTTCCAAATGTGTAATGGTGCCGTGATTTTTTTCCTTCACCATATACAAATAACGAGGAAGCAACTCAAAACTCTCATCTGGTGAACCCCTCCTGAGACTGTTAGCGATTTGTTTTCCCATCCAAACTTTCCAGTAAGTAACCTCGGTGCCCGTTTGGGCCATCATTCCCGTTAGTCCCTTCGGAGCGGTGTTTCCTTAATATCTTTGAAGTTCTTTACCACCATATCCGCAACTAATGCCGCACTTGCTTGTCGATGCTTCTTCTTTCATTTCTCCAAGCTGCAAGTATGAGTGTTATGGTATGTTCGGATGGAGAAGAAGTTTGAGTTTGGTAGCTTAGTCGCCCGTAGTAGCCACTTGCAATTCTCGTCGACACATTTAACCACATATACTTGCGTACATGATTTCACTATCTTAATTTCAAAGCAATTCTTTATTGCAACTGCTTTTAACTTGTTTTTTAGCTCATCCCTACTCCCAAAATTTTGACCGATGTGGAAATATATACCATCTGTAAAACTATGCAACACTGATGCTTCAACATGAGACGATTCACAATCTTCAACAGCATACAACTCTTCGGGGAATTGATGTTGATTCCAAAGTGCCTGCTTTATCCGGTGATCAAAATAAGTGTCACGAAAATGCTCTTCATGGATAATAGGCTCACAACCTTGGTTCTCATCTTCTACATGTAATCCTTCCTCTAAATCATTAAGACCCAAGCCACTGTCATGCTTTTCAACAAGTTCCACATGTAATGACCCTCTAAGATTTTTTTTCATAACGTACCATCAAGAAGCCAATAACATCATCATCATCTCTTATATAAATAGGAATTGATGCATCCCATGCGGTAGACTTGAAGCTTAGTGTCATCTTCGTCTTACTTCGGTCTACTCCAAGCTTTACGTACAATTTGTCAACCAAGTCTGCAAACTTAATCTCTGTATCAATAATTATAACAATAGCCTCATCATTATTTTTATTAAACCATTGGTACGAGCCTTTTTGTTTCTTCCACTCTCCACCGTCACATACCGTGATTACTGTCCGAATCATTTCCTAAAAAAAATAATTAAAAATATATTACATGATTCAATGAATATAAGATAAGGTAACAAATTTAAAAATGAATTTAAACCATTTAAAAGATAAATCAATTAATGAAAACTATAGCACATTCACCTTCCATAACTTATGATTAATATTGCAATACAGAAATGCTAAACTTTTACCTATAAGCATAAACTCTCAAAGCATACACTCTCAAAGCATACACTAAATAAATAAATATTAACCATTAACCATCGACAATTCAAAGTCCTTAAAAAACCTTTACCGTCTAAGTCTATAAAATCTAATTTGCTTTGAATATGAATAATCTAACAAGCAATAGCCCCGAACATCCTAAATTTTACTGTAATTCATAGTGAAACTCCACTGCTTTTTCCAGTAGAATCTCTACTACTCAACTGGGAGTGTATCTCTACTGCGAAGTCAAGATATCTACCGGATGTAGTAGAGATCACTGATTCATCTTCAACCTCGAATTTTCATCTTCAAAATAGCAAATTCAATCTCAAAATGCAGAAAATGGTCTAATTCTTTGGCATATAATACTATGGATCAAAAAACTATTTTGAACAAAAATTTAAAGCAAAAGGCTAAATTAAATTACATTTTAACGTACCTTTAAATCCCTAACTTCAAGAGTTAGTTTTTGAATGTAGAACCTCCATAAAATGAGTAAAATGGACAAATTTTCACCACATTTGGATGCTTAGTTGATCAAAAACTGACTTGTGTGGGTAGTAATCTCTCTAGAGCATATAGGATGAAACAATGAGAACCTCCCCTCTTTCCCTCTTTCTTTCTTGAACGAGAAGAGTTTCACGCTTTTTTTCTTTCTTTTTTTCTTTTAATTTTTTTGCTATTTTTTCTTTTAATGTTTATTATTTTATAAAAGGGATATTTTTGGACAATCAATCAAATTCATTAAACTAAGGGTATGCACCAAAACTTGAAAACTAAGGGTTCGTTCTTTTAGAGTTTAATTTAAGTATAATTTTTGAGTTAAATTTGAGTTATAACTTGAGTTGAATTTATAATTTGAATTTGTGTTTGGTTGTATACATTTGAGTTATGGTTTGAGATAAAAATCTTTTTGAGTTTGTGTTTGAGTGAGTCAAAACTTGAATTTGTATTTAGATAGTATTTTAATAAAAACTCAATGCTGATGAAAAATTTTAATAGGGTATATGAGTCGGGTTTTATTCATCTTTTCGTTGTCAATGCATAGAAAAAATCATCTCAATCAGAATTAAAACGAAAAAGTTATAGCATTTTTAAGAATAGAAAAAATACTGTTCATTAATTTGAGTTCGAGTTTCTGAACTCGAGTTGAAAGGAAAACTTGAACTCGAGTTTTAGTCCTAAACTCGAGTTTAAACTTAAAAAAACATTAACTTGAATAAAATTGTAACTCGAGTTGCTTTTTTTGAGTTTTTCACTCAAAAGAACAAACCCTAAGTGTGAAACTAAAGAGAAGAAGTTTTAAAGGCATTTTCATAAATCACCTAAGTAAACCATGTAATGTTTAACCACTTATACCTTTTAGGAACTACATGCAGTAATACGTATGTTAATCTGAGCTACCCGAATCCAATTTTGATACATAGTATCTCTGTCTTTTAAAAATAATTATAAAATTATAAAAAAATTATTAAATTTTTTTTAAAGTGTATAAATCTAAATTATTTCTACTTTTGATTAATACATTTTCACTAATATAATTATTTAACTAAAAAATATATTAATCAATAATAAAAAATAAAAAATTTAGACACATTCACTCTAATAATCCATTTGAAACCGGGATTTTGGGGACAAGATTTGAAGGGAAAATAAATAAAGAATGGGACAAAAAATTCCACCTTGTTTGGAACCTTAAGAAAATTTATAGATAAGAAATGAAAAGTTTTAAAAAACATACGACCAGATGGAGGATGACTCCACTACGAGCTCCGGCGTGGTGGAGCTCTAAGACCCCGTTTGAAACCAGGATTTTGTGGGGCAGATTTGAAGGGAAAAGAAATAAAGAATGGGATAAAAAATTCCACCTTGTTTGGAACCATAAGAAAATTTATAGATAAGAAATGAAAAGTTTTGAAAAACATACGATCAGATGGAGGACGACTCCGCTACAAGCACCGGCGTGGTGGACGATTGTGGCGTAGGCAAACTCGCAACGGACAAAGGTGACTAGATGACTGCAACAGATCTCGCCAGAGAAGACAGATCACGGCTGAGGACGAAAGCTGGGAAAAGGAGAGAGAGAGAGAGGGAGAGGGATGGGTGAAGGAGAGAAAAAAGGGGGAGATGGGCGCAAGAGAGAGAAGGACAGAGAGTTATGCAATAGAGAGAACAGAGAGTAGTGGGAGGAAGAGAGAAAGAGAGGGAGTTGTGCGAGAGAGAGGAGAGAGGGGCAGAAATAATGAGCAGAAAAGAGAGTGAAGAGAGGGAGAACGTGAAGAGAGAGGATGAAGAGAAATAGCCGGGGGAAAGTGTGTGAAGTGAGAGATAAAGAGAGATTTGTGAAATAAAATTTGGATTTTGATTTTCCTCACTCTTTCTTTAAGAAAATAAAATTCAAATTTTACATTTTAAATTTTTCTCAAATTTTCGTCAAAAAATTTTTCACCATTTTTTCTTTGTTCCAAACAGGAAAATATAAATCTTTCAATTTTTTTTTATTTTTCCTCCTAAAATTTAGGTTCCAAACATACTTAAAGTCTGATAAAAAGAGATAAATATTCTTTAAAATAAATGAA